AATTCTGTTTGAGAAACCGCCGAGTTCGCAAGATGGCCCCCCTATTAACAAAATAAAAACCGCCAATAATCCAAATGAAACTGGCATACGTGATGTATTATTCATATTGATACAATATTTAATTATTAAAAACAAAAAGGATATAATACAAAGGGTTTGAGTAGGCAAATAAAATCTTTTGGGTGCTTGTGGAATTTGTTAAGACAACCTTATTTTAATAAAAAGAACTCGGCATGACCCTTTGAGTTCGCTCAATGACCTCTGTAGGAAAACCATTTTCCCATGCAATTAATCATCATTATACGCGTGCAGTTTGTAAAATTCCACTAACCTTAATCCTGCCATCCTTTAATCCTGCAAATCATGATTCAGACGTTAATGAGAAATTTTGTTCGTGTTGGAATTTATGTGATAGGTAGGGTGTCTGCGGTTGCAGTGGTTGTTTTGGTTTCAGTATGTTTTCAAATTTTCTACTTCTTCCTCCATGACGTCGCCTACTTGTTTTAGGATGATTATTCCAGATTGTTTCGCTTCTTGTTTGGCGTCCAAATCAAAGGACGCACCCGCAACTGCCAATTACATTTCTAAATCCTTAAAGTCGGGATAGAGTATTTTCAGGTTTTTCACTTTACTTTCTCTCAATTTGACCACGTCCTCTTTTACGACATGATGCTTGCATTCCACAAGCAGTCCTTTGGTTGTATTTGCCATGGTAATATCAAACTCGTCTTGCAATTTTAGTTCTCTATTAAATCCGTGTAAATTTTTTTGGCAATCGTCAAATTGGATGTTTGCTACTTTTTTTGTGAGGTCAAGTGAGTTATAGAAATACTCTTCTACTGCCATACCGACGTTAAAACCTAAACCTTTTAATGTAGATTCTGTTTTCTTTTGCGAAGCAGAAAGTTCTTTAATTTGTTCATCCGTTTTCTTTTGCGAAGCAGAAAGTTCTTTAATTAGTTTCTCCGTTTTCTTATGCTCTACGGAAAGTTCTTTAATTTGTTCATCCGTTTTCTTGTGCGACGCAGAAAGTTCTTTAATTTGTTCATCCGTTTTCTTATGCTCTACGGAAAGTTCTTTAATTTGTGCGTCCGTTTTCTTTTGCGAAGCAAAGAGTTCTTTAATTTGTTTATCTGTTTTCCTTAACTGTTCATCCGTTTTCTTTTGCGAAGCGGAAAGTTCTTTAATTTGTGCGGAAACTTCCTTAATGCTTATTGCTAAACTTGCCACAATATGTTTTAATTCTTGATCGCTCATATCCTTATTTATTATTTATTGAAAATGTTTATTCTTTACAAAAATAGCACATTTCTTTATTATTTCATTTCCCTTGCAATTCGTCATTATATGCGTGCGGTTTGTAAAATTCCACTAACCGTAATCATACAAATCCTGTTAATCTTGCAAATCATGATTCAGACAACAAGCAAACGAGGGAGCATGCGCCCCCTTGTTTTAATTGATAATCCCACTAACGCTTCAATTCTGTTCGTTCTTTAATTCTGCAAATCTGATTTGTCAAAGAGCAAGTATTTTCCATGGGTCGAAGGCTCGTTTGTCTGTAACGAAATTTGCCCCGAAGTTGATGAGGGTTTTGTTTGCATGGCTGTACTTGCGAGCGTAGTCTTAAGAAATCATTTCAGTTTGAAAGTTTAACGAATCACTTTCCGATACAGAACTTTTCAAAGATGTAGTTCAGAATATCATTGTTTGTAACCTCTCCTGTGATAGTCCCTACTTCGTACACTGCAGCCCGAAGGGAGGAGGCGGTAAGTTCCATATTACCATTTTGTGATAACAAGGTATTAGCCTCTTTCAGAGCGGACATTGCATTGGATAGTGCCTCATAATGCCTGACGTTTGTAACCATCAAACTTCCTTCTGTTCTCGCTTGCGAATTTTCTGCTAAGTGTTTTAATTCTGACAGCAAACAATCCAAGCCAATATTTTTTTCAGCAGAAATTAGAATAGCGGGAACGTCCTGCACTATAGGCGGTTTCAGCAAATCAAGTTTATTTCCGACAAATAGGACTTTCGCTTCGGGATATAACTTTTCTAAATCGGGCTTAATTTTATTTAATTCCTGAATATTTAAGTGGTGGGTTAAATCGAAGAGATAAATAATAATTTGGGCATCTGCACTTTGTTCTTTACTCCTTCGAATTCCCTCTTGTTCTATGATATTATCGCTTTCGCGTAACCCCGCCGTATCCACGATTTGAAATAACACACCGCCATAATAAAAAGGCTCCTGCAAATAGTCTCGTGTTGTTCCTGCTTCTGCACTCACAAGAGCGCGTTCTTTACCAATAAGTGCATTCAACAACGTAGATTTGCCCGCATTAGGTTTTCCAATGATTGTTACTTTAATTCCCTCTCTTATCACCTTGCTAAATTCAAATGATGAGACCAGTTGTTCCAATTCTTGAATAAACTTATCTAACATCTGTCGCAAATCGTCCCTACTTTGAAATTCGACATCTTCTTCAGAGAAATCAAATTCCAATTCCAACAAGGCGCAAGCCCGAATAAGTTCGCTTCGTAACTGCTGTAGACGCTTTGACAGTGTTCCTTTTAAGTGTACCATTGCGGAACGATGCATCGCGTATGTTTTTGCATGAATAAGTTCCCCCACAGCTTCTGCTTGTGTTAAATCAATCTTACCATTCAAAAAAGCACGTTTTGTAAATTCTCCGGGTTCTGCAAGTCTGCAACCCGCTTCTATCAATGTTCGGAGAATCTCTTCTGTAACCAACGCTCCACCGTGGCAATTAATTTCTACCGAATCTTCTCCTGTATAACTCCGCGGCATTCTGTATACAAGTACCATCACTTCATCGATAAGCGAGCCGTCAGGCTTTACCACATATCCATGATGTGCGGTGTGAGTAGGCACATGATATAGCGAAAGTGTCTGTCCATTTTTTTTATAGAGAACTTTGCTTACAATCTCTATGGCATCTTTCCCGCTTAATCGCACAATCGCTAATGCGCCCACACCCACAGTCGTCGCAATGGCTACAATTACCTCCTCTTGATTAATCTCCTGCTTTACCTGAACGTTGTGAATCATGTATAACAAACATTTAATAAGTAAAACCTATGAATAAACCCAAATCATCCACTAAGTTAATCCAAATCTATTTTTCAAAATATTATGACATCTATTCTTTTACACCATCTCTACATCCACTAAGCACTTACCCTCAAATTCAGTGCCAAAAGGCTCAAGTGAATGTACAAAAAAAACGGTTTGGCTTTAACGAACGGAGTTCTACGCTTGCTTGGTCGTGCCCTTTTAGAATAATCAAATGCCCTGTAGGTTTAATCAGGTGCTTTGACCATCTAACCATAAGATTAATTTTCCCAACGTGTTTAGAGAGACCCACATCAAACATGCCTTTTACTTGCTCAATTCGGGATGCCGTACATTCCACATTTGATAATCCTAACCGCAGACACATATCTTGACAAGCAATGATTTTCTTTGCTGTTGAATCTACCAATTGAAACGTGGATTGAGGAAAACAAATCGCCAACGGAATACCAGGTAGCCCACCTCCTGTCCCAATATCAACACATTGAACGGAGTTTTCAAAAGAATAAAATCGTGAAATTAAAAGCGAATGCACAACGTGAAACCATACCTGCGCCTTCGTAAGCTGACGGCTTACTAAGTTCAATTTATCATTCCATTCAATGAGTAACTCTGCGTAGGCTAAGAGTTTTCGAATGATCGCGTTTTCATTTTCTTTTATTTGCGAAAAATTAAGTAGGGTGGGTACGCTTTCGGTTAGGTTCATTATAATTTTTTATGAGGTTAAAATTTCATGGCTATTCTCATAAATCCGCATGTAATCGTAATCTATGTCATGATTTTTATTGTTTAATATTTTGGCAATTTTTTACACCCAAAGTCTATAAACGGATTCACATATTTTGCTTTCATTGTTTATTAAATTTTTGTCATTGTAAAATTAATTATTTCTTTTTACAACGCAGAAAGATTAAGAAAGGTCAGGAATGTTTTACAAATTCCGTTCGGGTTTCGCTTATTCTTACGCTAATACTAATCCGTTCGGGTAGTGTGTAAAAAAGTGTGTTTTTTGGATGTTTAGACATTTTGAAAATAAGATATAATTTCTCGTTTTTTGCCATTAGACACTCTTTATTTCATAGTATTTTTCAATCAAAACAAAGGGGCAAATTCCCCTTGTTTGTTTATTGTCCGAACCATGATTTGTAGGATTAAAAGATGAGCCGGATTGTTTTCAATCAAGACCATCTGTCTCTGTGCAACGCACAGGCAGGAACGAGCGTGTTTGGTCTTTTCTTTGTGGCAATAATAGGTGGAATTATCGCAAAACCTTATGGTTTTAACGCAAAACCAAATGGAATTATCGCAAAACCAAATGGAATTATCGCAAAACCAAATGGAATTATCGCAAAACCAAATGGAATTATCGCAAAACCAAATGGAATTATCGCAAAACCAAATGGTTTTAACGCAAAACCAAATGGTTTTAACGCAAAACCAAATGGTTTTAACACAAAACCAAATGGTTTTAACACAAAACCAAATGGTTTTAACGCAAAACCAAATGGTTTTAACGCAAAACCAAATGGTTTTAACGCAAAACCAAATGGTTTTAACACAAAACTAAACGATTTCGGAGCGTTCCCATGCTGTTTATTTCATTTTTCGTGCAATTTCGCAGGATTATGGCAGAAAGGGGTACAAAAGATTAACTTGTTGGTTTTAGAAACACACTTTTTTATACACTACCTCTGTTCGCCAACGGCGCGGACGGGTTTCCACACTATTCGTAAGCGCGGACGAACCATATACCTAAATCATTTGGGAACGCTCTGAAATCGTTTAGGAATTGACAGAAATATCATAACGTTGGGGTAATAAACGTTTAATAATAGGTCGTGGTAAATATTTGGAGTAAAATTTGTAGGAATATCCATTTGGTTTTAGATTTGCCTTGAAATTTGGCGTGTTCGTCTAGTGGCCAAGGACGTCGCCCTCTCACGGCGAAGATCGCGGGTTCGAATCCCGCACACGCTACACGAGTTGAGAAAGTAAGAAAATATTGAGAGTGCCGTAAATGATTTTTTTGGATTGGAGTTATTAGCGACCCATTTTTTTAATTACAACTATAATACACATGAAAATAACCGTTATTGGAGCAGGGAACGTTGGAGCTACAGCGGCTCAGAGAATAGCAGAAAAGGAATTAGCTCATGAAGTTGTCCTTGTAGATGTTGCTGAGGGGATTCCACAAGGAAAAGGTTTAGATATGTACCAGTCTGCACCTGTGGAACTATTTGATACAAAAATTATTGGTGCAAATGATTATTCAGCAACTGAAGGGTCTGACATCATTTTAATTACAGCAGGATTGGCAAGAAAACCAGGCATGAGTCGAGAGGATTTACTTGCAAAGAATGCGGAGATTGTTAAAAGCGTTACAGAGCAGTCTGTAAGAAAGTCCCCCAATGCTATCATCATCGTTGTTTCTAACCCTTTAGATGTTATGACGTATGTTGCCGCTACTGTAAGCAAGTTTCCGAAAGAACGAGTGTTTGGTATGGCGGGGGTTTTAGACACTGCTCGTTTCAGAACATTCATAGCAATGGAATTAGATGTATCCGTACAGGACGTTACGGCTTTTGTTTTAGGAGGTCACGGGGATTCGATGGTACCTGTTGTTAAATACACGACGGTTGCGGGCATCCCAATTTCTGAATTATTGCCGAAGGAGAAGATTGAAGCGTTGGTTGCACGTGCGAGACATGGTGGGATTGAGATAGTCAATTTTCTCAAAACGGGATCCGCTTACTATGCACCCTCTTCCTCTGCGGTTGAAATGATTGAGTCCATTGTAAAAGATCGAAAACGTATTTTGCCATGTGCAGCCTATCTGACGGGTCAATATGGGTTAAAGGATGTTTATTGCGGTGTTCCTGTTAAGATTGGAAGAAAGGGGATAGAAAAAATATACGAGATTAAATTAGAGGCAGAAGATTTAAAGTCTTTGGTTAGTTCTGCGAATGAGGTTAAAGAAAATTGTAGTAAAGTAACGTTGTAATTATCTTCTAAAATTTCCGAAAAGCCATCTTTTATTCCGAGGTGGCTTTTTCATTGCTTGACTTTTGCTGTCCTTGTCTTATCCTCGTTCTCTCAATAAAGTGGATTCTTTTTGCGATATCACGAACTAACGCTTTCATTGGAATGCCGTCGCTAACAAATCTAAAATCCGCATATGTTTTGGTAGAGGGGTCTTCGTTTTTCATAGTTAATCCGAACATCATCCTCAAATGATGTTTCTGTGAGGAGCGGTCTGTTTGAATTAGTTTTGTTTTTCAAGCGATGCAAAATAACGTCAATGGAAGCGTCGAGCCATATCGTAATTGATGAATGGGACAGTAGTAGGGATTTCATTGTACTTTCATATTCAACTACGCCACCGCCAGAATCGATTACGATATTGTCTTGACTTTCTAAGGATTTAGCTACTATCATTTCTTCCGCTCTAAATTGTTGCCAACCGTGCGTGTTCACAAAATCAGAAATACTCATCCCAATATTTTCCACAATAATTTTATCCATGGACACATGCGGGTACTCTAAATACTGGGCTACTTCGCGTGAAATTTTACTTTTTCCAACAGATCTGAACCCAATAAAAACGACACGACTCATTTAGTTCTGAATACAATTTCTAAGGTTTTTCAATAAAAACAAACCAAACCAGAATCAAAATACCTATAACCATGGTTAGAGCATAATTCTGTACATTCCCAGTCTGTAATTTTGAAGCGATCCCGCTTAAAAAGTTAAAAAGGAATCCAATGACAGGATTAATCATTGAAAGAGCGGCTTCCGTCCCTCTGAAAAAAAGGCGTAGAAGCCCGCCCAATCCGATTACGACAACTAAATGATAAATTTCATCTATGTAAAATTTCTGATAAACGACACGCCTTAGACCTTTAAAATCAAACTCTGTCTGTATTGATTCTTTTTTTTGCAATGGCATAACCGATGATAACACCTATAATTGCAATGATCGATGAGACTCCCATCAGAAACCATTCAGAGGAATGAGATAATTTATGGGTGTTAGGATTAACGAAAACCGAGCCTTTTAAGAGCCAATCTACTATAAAACTTGATTCTGTGACCGTTTCGGGCAATCCAATTAAGCCTCCAAAAACTGCTAAGAGTGCGAGTATCACCAAGGGTAATGTCATGACCCACGATTCATGTGCATGTAAAACATCTTTGGAACGCGGCTTACCCATAAAGACGAGTACAAATAACTTCATACTATAAGCTGCGGTCAATCCTGCAACTATAACCGCAATTCCATAAAGCAGCGTATAATTTGAAGCGAATAAAGAAACAACAATGGCATCTTTACTAAAAAACCCTGCTGTAAGTGGGATACCCGCAAGTGAAAGCGAAGCGACAAAAAAAGCAGCAGCCGTAATGGGCATTTCCCTCCAAAGACCACCCATTTTTCTCACATCTTGTTCTCCGTTCAAACTGTGGATTACAGAACCACTTGCTAAAAAAAAGCATGCTTTAAAGAAGGCATGAGTAACAACGTGAAAAATAGCAAGATGAGTAGCACCTACCCCAACAGCCATAAACATAAAACCGAGTTGAGAAACTGTTGAATAAGCTAAAACCTTTTTAATATCTGTTTGGACAAAGGCGACGACGGCAGCAAATATTGCAGTAAGCAAACCGATGTTTAACACAAAAAAGGACACTTCGGGACTTTGCAAGAAAAGTGGGGATAAACGAGCCGTCAAAAACAGTCCGCTCGTAACCATAGTTGCAGCGTGAATGAGTGCGGAAACAGGGGTCGGTCCTGCCATAGCGTCTGGCAACCATGTAAACAGTGGAAATTGCGCTGATTTTCCAGTACAGGCGAAAAAAAGGAGCGACGTAACGACTAACAAAACATCGGGTGCCAATGGGGTGCTCAAAACACTCTGAAAACTAAGGCTACCTGTATTCACAAAAAGAAACCCCATTGCTATAATAAAAGCTGCATCTCCCACCCTATTCATAATAAATGCCTTATTCGCAGCGTCCACTGTTGAATGAATATGCACGCCTTCAAAGGTACGGTCATACCAAAAACTAATTAATAAATACGAACACAAACCCACGCCCTCCCATCCCAAAAATGTTACGACCAAATTTTCTCCGAGAATGAGATTCAGCATTGAGAAGATAAACAAATTGAAATAACTAAAAAAACGTGCGAAATCACGATCTCCTTGCATATAGCCGATCGCAAAAAAATGGATTAGTCCGCCAACACCAGTTACAATGAGCATCATTAAAATGGAGAGCGAATCGAAATAATATGAAAAATCAACAATAAACCTACCCACCGTCATCCAATTCATAACCGAAACAACAGCAGAGGTTGTTGGTTCAAACGTTAAAAATAACTGAACACCAGCCAAAAATGGAATAACGCAACCAACCACAGTTGAGAAAAGCCCAACAAACCATTCGGACGCTTTATTCAAACCCGACTCCTTATTGAACAGCAAAGAAACTAATGAATTTAGCAGAAATCCCAAAATAGGTGGGAAAAGAACAAAGTATAATAACGTGTTCATAATTTTATTTACAGCTAATTAATCTTTTAGAATATTTATTTCGCTAACAATCGTTGTTTCTTTATTTCTAAATGAAGCAATGACTAAAGCAAGTCCAACCGCCGCCTCCGCTGCTGCAACAGTCATGACGAACATTGCCATAACCTGACCTTCAATATTCTGGTGCATATTCGCAAACGTAATAAACGCCAAATTAACTGCGTTCAACATAAGTTCTATGCACATAAAAACGACGATAACATTTCTTCTAAACAAAAAACCTGCTACACCGGCACTAAACATAAACAAACTAAGCAGTAGCGGGTATTCTATTTCTATATTCATGTCTTAAAAGTATTTTATTTTTTTGTAGTTCTAAAATTTGGTTTAGCAATGGGCTGAATATCAACACTTTTTCCTGAAGTCAAATCAATGCTTACTTTAGCCCCACAAAGTCTCGGATCTGAATTAGCGCATTCGTATTTATGTGGGGTTTGGTAAAGAAATCTATCAATTGCGGACTTTGTTACCATCCCAATCACAGAATTATATGGACCTGTCATCCCGACATCTGTGCAGTAAGCTGTTCCATGCGGAAATATTTGAAAATCAGCGGTCTGAACATGGCTGTGGGTACCAAGTATTGCTGATACCCTTCCGTCTAAATACCACGCCATCGCAATTTTTTCTGCCGTAGCTTCCGCATGCATATCTACAATAACGTATTTGACGTCTTGAATTTTTTGCAAAGCAGCATCTACTTTTCTAAAAGGACATTCTATTTGATTCATAAACATACGTCCTTGTAAATTTATGACACCAATCCTGCCAAGTTGGTCTGGCAAATTGTACACCCCCATTCCACGCCCATATACTCCTGGCGGATAATTTATCGGACGTAGAGTGTCGGAACGTGTGCGCAACGTTTCATGAAAAGCAAAATTATCCCAAGTATGATTCCCTCCCGTAAAAACATTTGCACCTGCCTCCAAAAGTCGTTCTACTGCCTCAATGCTTCCCCCTTTTCCACCTTTTGCATTTTCAATATTGACAATGGTGAAATGAATCTGATATTCCATAATAAGTTGAGGTATCATTTCAACAGCTATGTTCAACCCTGAATCGCCCACAATGTCCCCAATAAACAAAACATTCAACGTGTTCGTAGTATTCATAATTTTTTTAGTTCACTGAATCTGTGAATTCTGCGATTCGATGTTCGTCGCATCTGTGTTCAAAATCTCATTAGGCTGTAAAGTGTTGTGCCCTTCAAGCACTTGCAACGCTTCACCTACCAACACAAACGAACCTGTTACCCACACTAAATCATTTGCACCTAAACCCAGATTTGTTCTTTTAATTGCATCTTCAACATTTTGGAATACATAATGTTTAATCATGTTCGAATCGGCAAGTTCCTCCAGTTTATCTATACTCGTTGCT